CCCCTGAACCCAGAAACCCAGAAACCTTAAATCCCTAAACACAGAAACCCAGGGCTCTGGGGCCTGGCTCTGCTGTTCACTGTACAATGACAGCGTGATCCCCGTCGTTTTTCGGAGCAGGGCTCTGCAGATGTTGCCACGAGAAACGACAATGCCGAAACAGATCTAAGCCCCCTTTTCGGCAACACAGGGGGATCCAAGACAGCCGGCAGAAAAGTATATTTCCCAGCCCAAACCTTGGAATGTACAATTGGAATTGCCGTACGGGCCCCCGGAATGTACGTTCTTGGGCGTGGCCGTCATACTCACAAAGAAGACCTGGCAAGCGCCAAACTTCACCCGGCAAAAGTCTATCTATGTATGGTTGCCGGCGGGCACCCCAATCCCCCCCTCCCCCACGCCATGATTCAGTTTAAAAACAATTCTATAGGCATAACGATACATGTTTCCCCCCCTTTCCGCCCCCCCCTCCCTCCCCGTGGAACGGGACATCCTTCCTTCTCCTGCGGCCCTGGGCCTGGGGTTCTTCTGCATCCATGTTCCCTTCCCAAAAACCCCGCCAACATGATTCAGGTCATACAAGTATACACTGATCATGATGTATTTCCCCTCCCCCCTGTGGAACGGGACAGCCCGCTTCCGCGGCTCTGTGATTCTCCATCCGTGTGTGTGGTCCAGATGAGGGTGGAGAATCTCCGCTCCCCCCCCCGTGGAACAGGACTGGGTTTCCGTGCCTCTGGAACCGTGTGTGCTATCCTGTGAAGGAAGTGGTATGATCGTGTGAACTTCGTTTCTAATGGATCACACGGGCGCACACACACACACACACATGTGCCTGTGTACGCATGAACCGGTGTATACATACACAAACACATACATACACATCACACACACACATGTGCCTGTGTATATGGCCCGGTGTAAACATACACACAAGCACATACATACATGGACCATGACACAAACGCAGAATTCTAGACCACTTATACTCCGCCTTGCTTGTGTGGAAAAGGTGCGGTTCTCTTTTCGTATGTGCTGTCCTGGTAAGGAAGTGCTACACGTCCTGGTCCCCATGTCGGGGTGCTGCCTTGTGGTATGGTGGTGTGTGTCCTCTTCGGGCGCGCACTAGAACAAAGCCTTTGGCAATCCTGGAAAGCCCACATAATTAAGCCCTATTGAAGCCCTCATAGAACCTTGTATCAACTGTCGAAAACCCATTGTAGGACCCTGTGAACAGCCGAAGCAGAAACCCTGTGCAGACCTTCTCTTAACGGGGTTCCTGTGGGCCCAGGGGCGGGGCGAGGCGACGCGGGGCGAGGCGGGGCGGGCCGGCGGGCCGGCGGAGGGTGCTCTTGTCTTAAGTCCTTGACGCACAGCGCACAAACATATGTACATAAAATAAATATACAGATATAAATATATGAACATATAAATATATAAGTCCATAAATTTACATATATACAAATATATAAATACGAACAAATAAATACAAATATATAAATACAAATATAGATATAAATATGAATATAAATATAAATATAAATATAAATATATGTATATATTTGTTTATTGATTTATATCTATATTTGTATTTATATTTATACGATCGTAACAACGCCGAGTCGACCATGAACGCATCGTCCAAACTTGTTCCATGCGAAACCCGCATTCACCCGTGCTGCCGTTTGTGGTGCGGCTGTGGATCCTGCACACATCATGCAAGCCGGGGTGCCAAAATGCAGAAGGTCTTGAGAAGCCAACTTTATGGTGTCTGTGACGACGGCGAGGCGCGGCTGTGCCGCGAAGGATTTGAACAGTCGGAGCAGAAGGAGCATCGGATAGAAGCACAGAATCAAGCGGAAGCGCTTCTCTTCTGTGCAGACTGCTTCAACCGCCTCGTAAAAAGCAGCCACGTGACCCAACCGCACAGCCCGCTGCAGGGCTGCATCCTGAGTCTGCAAGAAGCCAAGTTGTTGCTGCAGGTTTGACGCCTCTGTGGCGAGGCCAAACCATAGAACCAACACCACCACGGCTACCGAAATTGACAGCCAGTCAACCTCGGCTACTCAGCACGGCAATGCACACTCTGCACGAATGAGAAGGCCGCTCGAATCCGCTCGAACACATCTTCATGCGTAGCGACAGTAACGACAAACACACCCTGGTGCCGATGCCAATGTCTACGAATCAATTGGAGCACTTGTGTAAGTGTGTCTGGACTGCAAGTTGGCTGAACCGACATCTCATGCCGATTGTCGCTTCAACTTCGTGAGGCTTACCGCACAGCTCCGGGGTGACACCCGGCAATGTTAGCATTCCCATTCCGTGAGCTGCTGCTTCTGGAGTAAAGCCAGATTTCCTTTACTGGTGCGAACATGCGACCGGAACTGCTATCTCAGCAGCTGGAGCACCTGCACAAATCTGGATTGTGCGAGTCTGTCAGTCATGGTCGGCCCAGGCCTACAATGTTGGTGCGACTTAAGACCGGAAATCGCAAAGTATACTGGCCACAGCCTTCCTCATCCATGAAACCACATTCCAAAGCCCGATGTAGTCCTCGAGTAAAGCACGATGCCATCTGGCTTCTGCACTTCGAATGGCAGAAACAATCTCGATGAGCTCATTCACAAAGATGTAGAGCAAGCACAACAGCCAGACGCCGGCAAACACAATGGCAGGAAGATTCTCAGCCGTCGGCTGAGAAAAGTTGATCCAGAGAGACATCAGCTCCACACGCTTGCGGATGCGACCCCCTCGGGCTATCCAAAGGTTAACCCCTGTCAGTGTGAGCAGCCCGTACTCCGCGTTGAAGGAAACCATGGCCACCTGACGAAAGGGAAGGTTCCTATTTTGCTCGAGAGTGTGACGTGAACCCGTGAATGACGTTGCTTTGCGCCTCTATTCTCTGCGTCCTTTCCGTGAGCCAAGGAGAGGGAGGCTGCTGAGAAATGCACCAATTGCACGAGCAGTTGGAACCGGAGGCGCCCATGGTCCGAGCACATCCATCTTCCATATCCTCGGACAAAGCCAGTGGGACCACTGCGACTACATACCATGTTGAACATATCACGCAAACACCGAGTATCCACCAGCTGCTGCACGATGCGTGCATTGTCATCCTCAATAAGAATCCACTCTTGCCTTTCGGGCTGTATGAAGTTCTCGCCGTTGGAGGTGTCGGGTTCAAACGCTAGTTCCTGCAGACTGGGTATGCATAAACGTTCGCATGACAGGCGCCGCCAAACTTAGCGATCGTGCAAGACTCTACGTTTCTGCCTTTTCCGTGTTCTTGAAACCGGCAGCTTGGCATGACAAGGCACGGCAGTCAAGGGCACTTGTAGACCGTGCAATACAACAAGCCCCTGCCAACCACGTGTTTGACTTGCCGTCCCCAAAAATGCCCAACCTCCATCCCTCCCAAGACAAGTGGTCCCATCGTTGCTGGCCCGTCTGCAAGACATCATCTCACCATGTCCATAGCATGCGGCACATCAATTCACCAAAACCCCTGAAACCAAGCTATCCCCATGTGCCCCGGTGATTGGACTCGATTCCCGAGCCGTAATGAGAGAAAGACAGAAAATGCCTGAGGGTTTGTAAATGATGTTCCCTTAGTCGCTCACTTCAGAGAGCTAGTTGATGTAGCGTGGTTGCCCAAAAGTTGAAGTAGCAGTTGGAGCGCGACTTCACTCTCACGCTTCCTTTGCAGAACTCGGACAAAAGCTTTCTTTTCCTCGATGAGGACGATGCTCCGCCGTCGTTTTCAGCGGGATGGCTCGAATGATTGGATCGGATGCCTACAACCTGAGTCGTGGGCTTTCGTTTACGGCAGATTTTGAGAGATACCGCGTCTGATCTTTGCGCCAGGGAGAGTAGCGATCACGTTCACGTTCACGATCCTCCTATGTATGCCCGTTTGCCCCTGCGTTTGCCTTTGCCTTGGTCGATCCATCTGTTTGCCTCTGCTTGGCGGTGGCCCTTTTGGCTCTGCTGGTCTGCTGATAGTCGCTATTTTCTCTGCTGTCAGTGGTTGATCGCGAATGCCGACCTGCTTGGGGTCCAAATAATCCGCAAGTCTGATGTGATCAATAGTTTGAGGATGCCGACTATGACGTAGCTCTGCACGTGACTTCGTCAACTTCTCAGTAAACCTGGCTGGGATCTGAATGTCATAGTTGACGAGCATTTCGATGGTAGTCTGGCAGTCGTCGATGTGACTGTTTTGAAATCAATCATCATCACTCCCACCGGTTCGATGTACAGAAATTCAACCTCACCTTGACGTGGTCGTCACAGCTTTGCAAACATTGACTTGCTCGTTCCCTTGTTCTTCACGAAGGCCATCCCACTCGCAGCGGAGCCAACCGGGCGCGTGCGATCTGCAGGGGGCGTCGTGAGCTGAAAGGACGCCTTGAAGTGAGGCATAGATCGCCGCACTATTGTAGCAATGATCGCCGCCCGTTCGAGGCCGAGCTGCATCGGGCAGAGCCGAGCCGCACTGGCGCCAAAGGTCTTTTGGCCTGTGAAGCACATCTTGCGGTACCGCGTACGGAGAGGTGCGTGTGATCACCGGTGCACCTCTTGGCGAGCCCGATCAAAAAAGCATTGCTTGTGAGGAACCGAGTGGGTTTCCCAAAGGGCGCCCTGAAACGGCACTGATCAAACTCCACGTTGTAGAGATGAAGCCGAACTTTCAGCTGTTGAACTTGAGGCACCTGCCAGAGCAAGCTGCCGACGAGGAGATTCTCGAGCAAGGCGTCACCCCTCGCCATGACCACTGTCTCGGAGCGGAACAAGAGCGGGTCAGCCTCGATCAGTACTTGAACCGCACATGAGACAAGCCGAGCGGCAGCTGAAGCGACCTCGGCAGCGGAGGGCCACCAGGTTGATCTCGTGCCTGAAAGTTGAGCACGGCGTACCCCGCGATCACACCACTCGACAGAGCAGCAGCAAGAACTCCAAGAAGTGCGCATCGAGAATGTCGTCGCTCTCCAAGACCTCGTCCGAAATCACTGCGTCGATCGGTGGCAGGGTTTTCAGACCTGCCGACCTACACTGAGAAGTTAGAGTTGCAGATCCTGCGAAGACTTCCAAGCACCAAGATCAGATCTGGATCACGAGGGACCTGCGACCAATAGGGGTGATCACCCCCGCACTGCGTGCAAATGTGCTTGCTGCGGCACTGATCACCAAACCGGCACCCCAAAGAGCAAATTGTACCACAGGGCAACGGCGAGTGCCGTTGTAGGAGAAGAAATCTTCCTCCACGGGCACTCCGATCAGGAACACGCAGATCGCGATCGGGCTTCGTCTCTGCAAGCTTGACCGAGCCGCGATCTTCATGGGCCTTCTTGCGCAAAGCTTTGTTGCGCTCGCGCCGAACCTTGGTTTTGCGAGCGCGAGCCTCACTGTTGGGCGGCCTCGGCACCGGCGGCGGCGAACTCGAGCGAGTTCTTTTTGACGGCGTAGCCACCTCGCGCTCTGCTTGGCGAAACTTCTCGAGCTCGGCGGTGAATCTAATGACATCATTCCAGAGCTGCTTGTGGTGAGCGAGCACCTCCCTGCACGCGGCAGAGAACGTAGGGACTTTGTCGTTGTTGACATTCTTCGAGCTCCGAGAAGCCCAGAGGTATACTTCAGCTGACCGGCGGCGCGCGTGAACTCATGGACGGTGAAGTACTCTAAAGCCACAAAGTGAGCATGAAGACGATCCACAACATCCAGCTCCGAAGCGATCGCGACCTGTTGTCGAATTGGACGACCTTTTGCAGGTCATCGGAAGTCTTGGAGAACCCTGATGTCTGATAATCAGGCCCTTGGCCGGGAGTTTCACGAAGAACTCAGTAAGAGAGAGGGACGTCCCCGATCTCATCGTCGATCTTCGCGCAATCAAGAACAAAGTCCCGAGGGATCTCCTGGTCGGAGCGAGACCTGGTGTACTTGAGGACTAGCGGAGCAGGATTCTTTCAACTCGCCTGGACACCGATCTCTTGCTCCGTGCGATCAAAGTGCACCGCTGGTCCAACATAATCACCCGAGTCGGATGCCATGTCAGTGAAGTGACCTTGTGTGGGACCTCGAGGGTCCTCACACTTCTTCACCGAACCATCAGGCATCTCGATGAGTCTGGCCGTTCGTTTTGATGGCCTGTGTCAATCACTGCTGGGGTCACTCGAGTCGCCCCACATTCAGATTGACTTCTCCTTCTTTTCAATGGAGAATGAAGAATGACCTGCCGAAGAGGACCATCTTGAATACAACTGACGTTCCTCTGGTCCTGCTCACCTTTTTCGTGCTCCCGTCAGCCTGGCTCGGCAGGAGGGCCCGCAGATCGGTGGACCGCCAAAATCCCTATACCCCTGCTTCGATCATGGCTTCAGGCAAGCGGTCTCCGAGACGCGACTTGCAAACCTCCAGTTTGTGCTAGCAATGCAGGCGAACACACCGGGGCAGTTCGCCGCGGAGGTCTTCGAGTGGATAGCCGGCCCGGCGAAATCTCACGAAGCTCTGGTGAACAGAACACACATGCTCGAGCAGCTTTGGGTCTTTGCCAGAGCACCGAATCCCTCGGCTGTGAGATGGGCTTTGTTCGGTGCATGAAGGTTGTGAGAGGCGGTCGGCGACATCGATGGCGCAGTTTCAGCGAGTCATGGCCGTGCTGGCCCTAAGCGGCTCCGCTGCTCGCCCCTCTGCTCGACTTGGAGAATGCCGAGAAGCAGAAGTAGGCGAAACGGCTAAGGAGCATCGCCGATCGTGCCGGTGAACACGCGCGCGGCGATCAGGCTCACAGCTCCGACGAGATCTTGTGGCAGAGGAGAAGAAGCGCCTTCAGCTCTGGGTTTTCACCTCGGGAACTCCATCGACGATGTCGAACCACATTCGAAGGTTCCAGAAATTCGAGCTGTGGGCACACAGAGTTGGGATCCAGCTCTACCCCGTCACCGACGATAAGATCTTGAAGTACGCAGTGGAGCTCGACCCTCGAGAACGCGGTCCCACAGTGCTCCCGTCTTTGAGGACAATTTGAGGATGGCGATCAAGTGGGTGTCAAGCTCCCTTCGATCGAGACACCAACCATGAAAGCTCTCGAGAAAGAGGCCTTCACCCAAAGCGGCAAACCTCTTATAGGGAAGCAGTCGCCTTCCCGATCGAGCTGGTGCGGGCGATGAAGAAGTATGTGGTCAACGATGATCATCCCAAGCCCGCTCGGGTCTTTCTTGGGTGGCCCGACGGCCTGACGCAAGCGCCGTGGATTCAATTCATGGCCGCCGACCTGGCGTTTTCCACGGCTCCTTGGTTTAAGGTGGGAACTGATCTCTTCGACTTGGAGTTCCCGCTGATCGAGTGCGATTTCTGGGTGCCGGAGCTCGAGACCAAAACGCAATGGCGAGACACTCCTTCAGACTATGCTCGCTCGACGCAGTGGCTCCACCACCTTGTCTGGGTCGCTGGCAGAGAGGACGGGGTCGCAAAGGAAATCCTCGTGCTCACAAATGTGTCAGATTCACATTGTTTGTTCCTCTGGGTCGCCCGGCTGGCGAAAATGCGGAACGACAGACTGAAGTTCGAAGTGCGGTGAAACCGGAAATGTTGCAGGTTCCGCGAAAACCTTCAGAGAGTGAGCGGCGACTGCACGAGTTGACACGTCTGCCCTACACGGGACTTGCGCGAACACTGCGTGAAGCCAACTCTGGCTCATTCGCATCCCATGTGTCCCAACGCGAACCGCCCGACTCCTTCATTCCCTGTGCTGCGGCAACCACGGCACCAATCTGGAACAGATGGTCAATCGAGTTGTCATGCATGTCGGACACTCCACGCAACTCCAACGACCCAAAGTCATGCTCCAGTTCCGACATTACTCAGGCAAACAGCTCGCTGCCAGTCGCGCTGCCACGACATATGGTAATGACATTCGGCGTCAGGTACACCAATGTCCCCTATCGGACAATCGGTATGGGATTCTCAGTCAGGTCAACCAAGGCCGGGCCAAATAACTTTTCCATCACAGTCCAAAAATCTTGCAACAGCATTCTTGCCAAATTCACCAGTGGGAATGGTATGCCAGTGTACACGTAGGAAAGTACACTCAACGAGCGGCCATTGCCACAATCAAGCTGCACAATCTTTCTACCTTGCACGTTCAGTGTCTCTACAGACAAGCTCCGCAGTGAGGCCGCGCTCTCATTCAACGGGAAAACAGGATAGTCCGGAGCAAACCATTCCGGACAAGAGTTCACACAAGCACCACTGTCGAACAGTATCCACGACTTGTGCACTAGTCCAGCTTGCAGGTGACATTCGACCAGTCTGTCTTCGAAGCGCAATGACTCCATTCGTGGAGCATTCCTCGGCGGCAATGGTGGCACTGTGGCACTCAGTGCACCATTCAACACGCAAGCTCCGACAAACAGATTCGTCATCAGTCCAGGCTTTGCACCACGGACAGTCCTGACAGACTTAGGTGCATTCGACAGTTACTGCTGCGACATTCTGGGGGGGTTCATTCTTGTCTGCCTCCTGTGGGACAGTACTCTGAGATCCGGACGCAGTCGCAGTACTCGGCTGTTCCGCATTCCACCAGTTTTGCATGTTCCAGGACCAGTCATCCGGCCAGTAACTCCAGTTGTCATCAGACCAAGACCAGCCACCGGACCAATCATCAAACGAACCAATCCACCCAGAATTCCAACCATGGTCATCCCAAGACAACCAATCATCATAGTACCAGTCACCATCTTGGCGCGGATCGTGTTTCCATTCACCTCGCTGATTCTCTTGCTGATTTCCTCCTCAGCCACTGCTGACATTCTACATTTGCCTTCTTTAGGACATTCCTTACTCCAGTGATTCGGGTCTCCACACAGGAAACACCCTTGTCGTTTTCCTTTTCAATTCATTCCTGTTGTTCCTTTTCCTTTTCCTTTGTATCGTTGCTCTTCCCTTTGCCTTTTCCTTGGAACATTCCCTTGCCTTTGTATCCTTTTCCTGCTCCTTTGTACGTTCCTTTGCCTTTAATTTCCTTTGCCTGGGATTCCCTTTCCTTTCCATCCTTTCTGTCCCTTCAGTGCTCGTGTGTCCATATCGGCTTGGCCTGGTGGTCAACCCTACCACTCGGCACAGTCAGATGCCTGCTCTTACGCTCTCACAACTCGGACAAGCCAGGCGAGGTCTCACGGTGCGAAGTCGGCGTGAAACAAGTCTCAGCACACCATCGCGGAAGCAAGCCCCAGGAACCAAATCTAAGACCATGACCGACAAACCCAGAAGGATGGCATGCCGTGCGAATCTTGATATGGTAGGCAGTTCTACAGACAGAGTCAAAGCACCAACCTCCTCACAAACCAGAAAAGGCCCTAACAACTCAAGAACACAGCGAGAACCTCGGATGCCCTGTGATACAACAGCAAGAAGTGCCAGGACCTCCTTGTGCCCTAGCAGTCAGAGCCAGACGCAGCAAGGCGAACTATCAAGGGACTAGGGAACTACTTGACGGCGTGAAACAGGCGTGCTTACTTAGACTCAGTACTTCTCGGCAGACTCAACACTTCTCGACAGCGTAACGGCTCGAGACACCATCCGCAGGCCCACGGCCCTCTACAGCAGAGACTGCAGATCAGAGGCCGAGCATGAACCTTGAAGACAAACAGATTCCCAGAAATCCACCTTAGTGGATGTCAGCATGCAGATTCCACTGGCGGGGCCGGAAGTTGGTACCCTGCAACTATAGACAAACCCCAGGGCCTGAGTGACCGTCGTGATATTTCGAACATTCAACCGCATGTGCTGCGGCAATGGACCAACAGGCTTCTGCAGTAGCAACGTGATCAAGAGGTCATCGTCCAGCGGCCTACCAGTCGTCTTCTCATGTCTGTTCTTCAAGATCATGAAGTTACTCAAACCGGCTCGAGCTCTTTAAATCAGTGAAGACTGTTTGTGCAATCGTCGCCAAATCTCGAAGCCATTCTGTGTGTCTTCATTTCGAGCAATCGGCCTTGCGGCACCATCCGTGAGTGATTTGCGCAAGCATGTAAGCCCGTTGTCGTGAGAACAGTGTCAGTTGATTCTTTTGCGACGGTGTTTGCTGGATGTCAAACGCCTCATTCTGGCCGAGTCCGATGTATCGCTTCAGCTGCCATGACCAGCCTCCCCATTTACCCAGTTCGCCGTGGTACACTGGAGGTGGGAACAATTAGGTTTCACCACCGTTTCCTCTCACTCCGAAGTCCAGTCTCTTTCACTCTTTCCCTGTCTGCAGAGCCGAAGCTCCGCGACCATGCAGAATTCCATTATACAATCTACACAGTCACGAGCAACCTAATTCAATCTGCTTCCCCAATCACCAACACAGTCAGGCCAGCATTCCTTTGTGCGACCAAGCCAGTGCTTGAGTAGTCTTGAGCCAATGCCATTCGGCATCGCAGCATTCGGCAATGATTTATGCTCGTTGGGAGCATTCTAGGGGTCGTGTCATTTAACAACGAGGGCGAGCGAGCGAGCAAGCGACCGACCGACCGAGCGATTGACCGACAGATGCACCGACCGATTGACCGACCGATTGACCGATTGACCGACCGACCGACCGACCGACCGACAGACAGACAGACAGACGGACGGCGAGAGCGAGCCGGGAGAGACGGCCTGAGGGAGGGGAAGGGAGGGAAGAGGGAACGGAGCGAAGGACGAAGGGAGGGAAGTGGAGGGAAGCATCTGGAAGAGGGGAAAGGAAAAGAAGGTAAAGGGAAACCCGAAGAGACCGTTAGCAGCAGTGTCCTCGTAGGCTGGCATGCATGGCTTCCTGGGCTTGTTAACACGAGGCCAAGAAGGCTTGACATCATAATTCATGTTGTTGTTGTCGTTGTTGTCGTTGTCGTTGTCGTTGTCGTTGCTGTTGCTGTTGCTGTTGCTGTCGCTGTCGCTGTGGCTGTTGCTGTTGCTGGTG